GGGGCGGCCCCCCCCCCCGCCGTGGGCTCACCTCCCCCGGGACGCTGTGGTGCGGCGCCGGCAGCAACGCGGACGTCTACGAGCAGCTGGGTAAGGGCGGCCGGGCCACTGCTTCCCATCCCATCCCAGCCCCAGCCCCAGCCCTGTGCTGCCCCACCCCGTCCCAGTCCCAGTCCCCATCCCAGTGCTAGGTCAGTCCCCATCAATCCTAGTCCAGTCCCATCCCAGTACTGGTCCAATCCAGTCCCCATCCCCGTGCTAGTTCAACCTGTCTGTCCGTCCCAGTTCAGTCTGCATGCCAGTGCCAGTCCAGTCCCGGTACACCTCTGTCCGGTCCCTGGACAGGGCTGGTCCATCCTGGTCCCCATGCTGGTCCCATCATTGTCCCCATCCTGGTGCTGGTCCAGTCCTGATCCACCCTCTGTCCCCAGCCTGATCCCTGGTCCATCCTGCTCCCATTCTGGTCCCCACCCCAGTGCTGGTCCAATCTGGTCCACTCCCAGTCCCTTTCCTGATCCCAGCCTAGTCCCTCTCTTGGTCCTGGTCTGGTCCTCGTCCCCATCCTGATCCCAGCCTAGTCCCAGTCTCATCCCCACTGTGGTCCTGGTGCAGCCTCAGTCCCCATCCCAGTGCCAGCCTTGTCCCCACCCAAGTGCCAGTCCAGTCCCAGCCCCTACCCATCCCAGTATGATTCCAGTCCTGTCTCAGTCCAATCTAATTCTGATCCCAGCTCTAGCCCAGCTCAGCCCCAGCCCTGATCCCAACCCCATCTAGCCCCAGCCCATGCGTGCGGGCCCCCCCAGCCCTGCCCGAACCCCGCACCTTCCCTGCAGGGGAGCACCGGGACACAGACCGGTGCTGCCGGGACCATGACCACTGCCAGCATGTCATCCACCCCTTCACCGCCCGCTATGGGTACCGCAACCTGCGCTGGCACACCATCAGCCACTGCGACTGCGACCGCAGGTGAGCGGCCCCACGCCCAGCTGCGCCCCGCAGCACTCCTCCATCCCGGGGGTCCCAGCCCCTCCAACAGTCCCCCGGCCCCCTCACCCCGGCTCTGCCCCGCGGCAGGTTGAAGGAGTGCCTGCGGCAGGTGAACGACACGGCCTCACGGGTGGTGGGACAGGCCTTCTTCAATGTCATCCAGGTGCCCTGCTTCGAGTTCGCCTACAAGGAGGAGTGCGTGGAGCCCTACCTCTACGTCTGGTGAGTGCCCCCCACCGTGGGGACTGTCCCCCCGCTCGGCCCCGCTGGGGCTCGCCTCACCCCATGCCTCCTCACTCTCTGCAGGTGCAAGGCGTACAACACGGTGGTCGTGGCGGTGCCCAGGGAGCCGGTGCTGTACGAGTTCGGTGGGGAGCTCATCGACCGGGCGGCAAGGCCTGGGGGGTTCCCTCTGAGCCCCCTGTGGAGCAGCGTGGGCGGAGGAGCCGTCCCAGTGGAGCATCATGTGCCTGCCCGCCTGCCGTCCCCCCCCAAGACAGCCAAGAAAGAGAGGAAGGGGAAGAAGAAAGACAAGAAAAAGAAGGGGGAAGGTCTGAAGAAAGGCCCTTCCAAAAACGGGGAGCCAAGCCATCCTGCAGCTGCTGCCCCCACCGGGCAGGACCCATGGGCCCCACTGCCTGACGTGGGGGAAACGGCCAACACCATCCTGAGGGATGCCCCAGTGCGGGAGGGCTTGGGCAGGGAGCCGTCCGCAGCCCCTCCACCCCTGGTCCACACCGCCAGTGGGAAGAGGAGGAGGAAGGAGAGAAACAGAAAGAAGAGGCTGAAAATCAAAGCTGAGGCAGAGCCTGCATGAGAGCCGCAGCCCTGACTCCCCCCTCGCGGGTCTTGGCTGTGTAATAAAGTCGATTGCTTGAGCAGATGGCGCAGCCTCGGCCCCATCTCTGTGGGGAGAAAGGATCGCACCGGGGGCCACGTCCAGGGGAAATCCCGGGGCTGATCCCGCTTGCGGGGCTGCGGGAGGAGCAGCACCTAGAGCCGGGTGGGTACTGAGGGTTTGAGCTGTTCCTGACCAGCTCACATCATCCTCCTGGGCACCAGGGACAGCAAGTCGCTGCTCTGGCTGGGGACACAGTGCCCGTCCCCATGCCAGCATGGGGCAGAGCCCTGATTTCTGCTCCCCTGCCACAGAGGGTTGAGCTCCAGCTCCCCAGGGGTGTATTTCTCCTGAGGACCAGTTAATAATCTTGCTTAACCTGCTGCCCTTTCCCAGGCTGGGAGAAGCACGGCGCTCCCACTCCAGCACTGACTCCTTCTCCAGCCCCCAGCAATGGCAGCGAGCAGCAGGGGCTGCTCTGGGAGGAGCAGGGGCCTTGTCCCTCCCCGAAGGCTCCTCAAACATCATACAAGAGCTCTTTGGAGGAGGACAATAAAAGCTTTTCCAGTCCTGGGACAAAGGCGGACACTGCCTGGGCAGGGCAAGCTGCCTGCATCCCCGCCTGGCGGAGGGTGGTCGCAGCCAGACTTGTGCCCCGTGCTGATAACTGGGCTCCTGTAGTGAAGAGTTTGAGGGCAGCGCCCAGAGATGGGGCATTGCCACCAGCTCCTGCAAAGCGCTTCTGAGTGAGGAGCGTGGTTTGGCCCAGCGTCCCCTCTCCTACCCCGTGAGGCCAGTGGAAAGATCTTCCCGCACCAGCACCACATTCCAGAATAGGGAAAAGCTGGGGCCACAGGAGCTGAGTGCCGTCTCCTGTTTTGCCACGACACGGCCCTGGGAGATGAGACAGCCCAGAGAGCAGAGCTGCCCCATGCAAACCCCACTGTTCCTGGAGGAGCGTGGAATGCGATCCCAAATCCCTGAAATAAGTGGACCACAAGAGCCTAGGGGGGAAATACCAAGGTTGTAGCGAGGCATCGCACCCTCTCCAGCACTGCTAATGGGTGCAAGGCCCTTGCGGCAACCACAGCGTCACCATGGGAAGCACAGACATGTGGCAGGCAAGCAGCTTCCCAAAAGTAGAATTTTTATTGACGGTAAGGGAAAACTAAAAACAAAGACAGCCAAAAAGGAGCCGACAACGCACAACTAGCCCCTCGCCATACAGGTCCGATACATCCCTGGTAAGGAGCTACTCCCAGTCAAATTCCCGTCATACAGAGTTTCATAAAATAAAAAAATAGCATAAGGTTAGTACGCCTGCAACCCACATCAGCCGCGGGCCCCGAGCACGGTCCTCCAGCCTGGCCGGCGCGGTTGCAGGGGAGGAACACAACCCTGCCAGCCCCTCAGTACAGCTGAGGAGACGGTGGGGAAGCCAGGACCTGCATTTCTCTGTGGAAACAGCTTTGCTTTGTCTCCCGGGTCGCTGCCATTCTTCAGGAGCATTTACATGCAAAACAGACCTTTGTTTCTTAAGATCTGCTGTTCTTGCTCATTTCCTAGCAAGAAGAGGCTAACCAGGAGCACTTGGAAGGAACAAAGACTCTGCTTCCATAGAAAATCCCCTACTAACAAAGCAAGAGAGAGGAAAGTGTGTGCAGCAGGAACTTTCCAGTTCAGAAATGGCTCTCAGCGCTGGCAGTCGCTCTGCAACACCGCAGCGGGCTGTTCCTGACGTGACCGAAGTTACCTGCATTATCTGCCCCCCTCCCAGGCCCCCCAGGGCCTCTCCCAGCCAAAGAGACATGGGCCCCAGATGTCGGTGTGATGTCTTTATATGACGCATTGAAAACAAAACATTATTCTTTATCAGCTCAACAGAAATCAGCTTCTCTGTGAAAGTTTCAGCACACAGAGGGCAACTCCAAGCAACAAAGGAAGAAGGAGCATCGACTTTCACCACCGAACTCTGCTTCTAAGCAAATCCATTGCTAAGAGGAGAGGGCGGGCAGGCAGCACAGGGTGCAGGCAGAAAACCTCTCGACTAGCGTTCAGTAGAAACACTATTTATTCACCCCTCTTCGTTACAACTGGGCAGGGTTAAGCGGATACGGAGGAGGATGTCATGCACTCCCGGTTGGCTGCTCTTGCTGCGCTTTAGCCCACGTGTCTGTCCCGCGCTCGGGAAAGCTGCTGTTGGCTGGTGTTTTGCTTTGCAGTCTGATGAAAAAAATCAAAACTAAATAAATATTGTTCCAAAAGAAGCCAGAGGAGAGAGCAAGCCTTTGGTACGACAGCTGCGTTTCTCTCCGGCAAGACCCCAAGCCCCAGAGCTGCTGTGCAAGACCCCTATGAACACAGCTGGGGGTTGGCACAGACCACAGAGCCTGCTACACGTGAAAACATGAAGCAAACAACAACAGAAACTTTCCGAGAGCTCTGGTTTGCTTGTCACAACCCCCGTGACTTTGCTTTGTGCTCTCAGGGCAAGGAGAGGTGACAGTCAGGGTTTGGGAGAATCCAAATAAAACAGGCTCACTCCAGGCCGATGGTCTGCACTTTCAGCTACGTTTGCTTCCAAGTCTTTGCGGTGAAAGCAGACTGTTGTGCACGTACAAGGACAGATTCGTTTGACCTCATAATTACTTTGCTGAGCTTCCGAAGTGGTGAACCAGGGCCTGGAACGCAGAGGCCGCTGCAGCGTTCCTTCCTATGATATATTTTTATATATATAGTATATCTATTTAGACCAGCCCTGCCGAGTCTATTCATTTGCTCAGGTGCACGTCACCAAGAGTCACTTCCCACCATCTCACGACGTATAAAACAGGAGTTATGTGGCTAAGGGAAGGGAAGTTGTTTTCAACTGTTCACTCTCCCTTCCCCTTCCTGGAGAAGAGAGCAGATGTTACTGCTCAGGTCCAGCACGGCCTATCGATCCATCTCATCCAGCAGCGGCGTGGCGTCCCCAGCGATGGACATGGGGGTGCTCTCGATCATGGGGCTGGGAGATGGGCGAGGAGTCAACCTCTGCTTCTGTTTCCTCCGTTCAGCCTCCTTCTCCTGGAGCCACTGCTCGGCCATCTTCCCCCAGTCGATTGCAGCGTGACTGTTCGTCCTGCAATGACACAGGCAGAAGTGAGACATGCTAGCGGGAGAGCTTCCCTGCCCTCCCTTCCCAAGGGTCCCATGCAGGAAGGCACAAGGTAACCCCACCACGCTGGTTCCACAAAAATCAACAAAAGCAATCAAGGTGAGACATAGACAGATACGTGCACCCAGCGCTGGAGCCACTCACTTTGGCTGCTGCCTCTGCCTGGAGCTGGACGATGGCTGCGACTGTGTCTGGGACTGGGTGGACTGGGGTGTTGTGTTGGCCTGGAGCTGGTACTGGGGCGTTGTAATCGGCTGGCTGGGGGTAGTGTAGGAGTAACTGGGGGTCATCAGAGGGGTGGCCACCGGTTGCTGTGCTGGAGTCGTGAAGACCTGCAGAGAACAGATACTGTTAGGGGACAGAGGGCAGACCCTGCTAGGCTGTGGGGCAGACATCTGGCATGCTCCGCATCGCCCTACTCGCCCCGGAGGCTGGTGCGCGACCTTGCAGCACACTCCCAGCCCTGCTGGAGCCCCTCATCTGGCAAGGAGAGGTTTGCAGTGACCACTGCCCAGGGAACGGGGGGCTGCAGGGCAGAAAGAGCCCTGGAGCACAGGACATTTGTTTCCCTGAGAGCTCCCGATTGCCCACCCAACCCGGACCAGCAGGGCCACTGCAGCTGCCTTCCGTGTTCATCTCACCCAGGGTACAAGGGGAGATGCTTAAGCTAAGCAAAGGTAAGGGCTGCAAGGGGTGGGCACAGGAGACACGGGGCAAGCTAGCAGAAACGATGTTCTGCAGTGGGCATGAAGAACAGATGAATTCTTCTCCTGTGGGCTGCAGAGAAGGCACAGCAGCTCCTACATCCCAAGCTGGCTGGCTCACCGTTTGTCCCATGGAGTGCTTAGTCTCTTCACCTCCCTTTTCCTTCAGATTGTCTTGATGATTAATACATTGAGTTATCCACAGTCCCTGCCTATCCCCAGCTCAGTGTTTACTGTGCCAAACTCCGTGAAAGCCTCCAAGGTGGTCTAAAAGAGGATCACTCCTCCCTGCAAGCCTTGTCTTGCAGCACCTCTTCATTAGGTCTCTCTAATGGCTGGGTGCATTTTTTGTACCCAGGCACCTCAGTCCTTCTGCAGCTGGATTTAGTCTCAGGGTCAGCTGGCAGCATGGCCTGGGAGGAGGCAGGCACCACCACACGAGGAAAGGCTTCAGCGTGAGCTGAAACTGTCCAATTCCATCTTATTGCCTGCAAAGCCTCTGGGTGTTTGGCCAGGCTGAGGTGTTTGCCTGCTGGTGCAGCTCAGAGATTAGCAAGCTGAGCTGAAAAGCCCTGCAAACTCAGCGCATAGTTTCACAGCTAATCTCTTCCACTGGCAGCTCACGTTGCCAATTCAGGGGCACAATCAGAAGGTTGTGTGCCCTGACTGCTGGATCTCGCCTCTCCACCCTGCCAAATTCCTTGGGGGCCAGACCAACTTGCGACTTGCTTCAACTCTCCCCAGAGCAGAGCTGTATTACCTGCCTCATTTCCTCAGCCACAGAAGGCAAGAAGAAACCCAGTCCAAGAATCCAGCCAGGCTCCCCTGTGCAGCACCACAGGTACACAGCCAGGACTGGATGATCCCAGGCAATGAGTAACCCCTTACACTCCCAGGGGAGCCCCCACAGGATGGTTTCTAGCAGCAAGGAGAAGCCAGTGCTCAGTGCTGAGTGCTGAGAAGCACCTCCTCTCAGAAACTTAAGTGACACCTACATGGTACGCGCTGCTGCCACCTCCACTGCCTCCGTAGCCAAACTGACTGGATGCCCACTGCGCAGGGGTGGCATTTGGGTTCTGTCCCTGGCCTGTCACGGCAGCGATGGCACTGAACATCTG